TAGGCAGATGGGAAAGGAAAGGTAAGCACTGAAATATGCACTTGTAGTTTGAAAAAAGTCATCATTATCCTAAGATAGGAGAAAATGTCCTACTATGGAAATTTTCATCTATCTAAACTTGAGCTAATTAGCTTCTTAATTAAACATGCTTCATTTCTCTTCTCTATCCTAGTGAATGATGCCATCTCATCCATCTAATCCTCCATTTCCCTCAGTCAAAATTGCTAACCAGTTATTAAGGCTTAGGGCTTAAAAGTATAGGGTTTGCTGGTTTGGCTATGCCACTTACCAGATAGATGACTTTGGGAAGATTACTTGATCCCTAATTATTAATATACTTACTGGTTAAAACATGGATAAAAATAGAACATATTTTACAAGATTTTAGAATTCAATTTTATGCACAATATTTATAAAAGTTCTTATTACTGGCACATACAAAGCATTCAGAATATTTTGCTATTGTTATTTATTAACAGAAATGTGAACAAAAGAGTGTGTTGGGCTGATCCACATATATGTATATATTCATATTCTAACATCTATTCTTTATAGACATCATAAATTAAATACTACAAAGTACAGTTTAAGAGAATAAGGTCTGCATTCAGACACAGCTGAACTAATTTAAGTATAGGATTTACCATTTCTTGAATACATCACTTAACAACTGCAAGCTTTAGTTCTTCATCTACAAAATAGTTATTGTGAGCTTGAAATAAAGTAACACATGTAAAACATATAACATAGTACCTAATACAATTTAAGAGCTCAAGTAATGTTAGTTATTATGTCATTGAATTTTTTCACAAAATCCAATAATATGTATACATTAATACATACTTTCTGACTGAACAAGGACTATAGAATATATTTTCAAATAATTTTTAAATCATATTTTTATTAAGAAATGTTCTTTTCATTTTATAGTTATTTATTTTCCAAAACATCCTATTAGTCCAAATCATCTGCATCAGTGAGAGACTGGGTACTCTAAGAAGTAGCAAGGGTATGGAAGGATAGAACCACAAGAATGGGGCTCAACTCAAACACTGGAAGGATAGAGTCAAAAGCAGAATCAAGGAAATGCTGAGCCAAAACAGAACAACTGTGTTGCCTCCTGAGATGCCCAAAGACATACTCAAGCCGCCCATAGCTGCTCTTACAGTCTTCTAATCAGCACTTTCTTCTTGCTTAATGAATATTGCATAAAACATAAGCTTTCCAATTCCCAAAGAATAGAAACTTCTGCCAGGCCATTAACAGTCCATAGGTCACATATGGTAACAATGAACCAAACCGCTAGTGAGCTCATTAAAAGGACTGTCGAATTACCAAATGTCCTGTAGACTCTGACAGCAATTCCAGAGGAGTTTAAACACATTTTAAACAAAGCCAGTATTAACTGAATAAGCAAATAGCCACAGAAGTTGGAACGCATATTTGAAAAACAAATTTCACCTGCTTGATTAAAATCTCTACTGAAACTCCAAACCCTATAAGATTTTTATAATATTTCTTTCCAGTAACATGTTTTAAAATTTTGCTCTTGGCCCTGAAAAAGCCTTGCTTCTCCAATTCTTTCCTGTCCTTCAAGTTCTTGGAAACAACCATATTGCAATTCGGCTTTCTATTGCATCGACAAATAAAACTTACACTTCTGGGCATTTAAAAAATGTTTTGCTCTTAACACACTATTTCCCCTTCTTGATTTCCTTCAATGACAACTGACACTTCAAAGCCAACTGTGCTTTGGCAGCAATCTGGAATCAGGAGGAAGAGTAGGCCAATCCATTAATCACCATCTTTAGAAGACAGACATTTTTCAAGTAAACTGCTGTGGAGATCTAAGTTATTACACATACATAGTTACACATTGTAGAGGACATAAAGCATACAATGTGTATTTTGACAACATTTATTATAAAGTTCCTTGCCAATCCTTAAATGCTGTGACTCTATGCCCTTCACAAACAAATTTCATCTTCTTGATCTTGATTATGCCATTTGCACACAGCATGTGGCCCATGCTGCCAGCAGGAGTTACTGAATCACAGTGGACTTAACCAATTGGATGTGTTCAATCAAGCATTTGCCAGTGATGACAATTGCTGTAGTCATTAAGAGATATGTATCAAGGAGCAAATAGATTACTGGTTTTCTTCCCACCTTTGGAAATTCTTCAGAATAGTGTTATTCTGATTAAATGGTACTTTCAAGTATATATATTATTCCACTGTAACACAAGTGCAAGGAGTCTCATCACTTCGCAAAAATGAAAAAGAGAACTATAGCAACTCACTATAAACAGAAAATATGTCTCTATATCCAAATCTTTGAGCAGTCCTGGGTCTGGTGGGAGTTAAGAGCTACATGGGAGAGTCAATATATTTTATAATTTCAAAATTATTTAAAAATTATAAATAGAAATATCTTCTTTTAAAACTTAAAGTTAACCACTAGTGATATAAAACTATTATGTAGAGCTTCCAAATTATATGAGAAAAATAAGACTAATGAAAATTTAGCAATCAAAATGTATTACAAAACTTAATATTAAATATAATATTTTAAAATATTTAATCAGACCAAAGAGAATTAAAGGAAAAAGCATTATATAGGACCATAAAATGGTTATTTTATGAGTAAATGCATGGACTAATGTGGAAATGGAGCAGTTATAGATCTTTGCATGTTGACTATCATAGCATCAAAGTATATAAAACAAAAATAGTTAAAATGCAAACAAATTAACACAATCTTATAAAATTAGTGAGAAAATTTTTCATATCATTTTTGGCATTTGAAAGATTGAGAAGAGGTGGCTGATTAAGAGGGTGAAATAATAATGTTTTAAGTGAAATTGATTTAAAAACTAAAAATCCACTTCTTTTGAATTGCCATTAAATATTTGTAAGATTTCAGCAACATGAGGCTAATGAAAATGTCAATAATGTTTAAATCTGTACAGGTAACATTTCTGAATATGATGTGATACAACTAAAAATAAACAGTGGAGCTAAGTAAACAAACAAAATCCCATTTGAAATTTTAGTATTATCTTTCAAATAATTCTTAGCTTATAGAGAAAAATAGCAATAAAAGTGAAGAATATTTAGCAAATAATTATGATAATATCATATATCAAAAGTCATGAGTTACAGCCAAAGCTACATGCAAAGGAAATCTTATTGTAATAAAGGAAGCTTTAGTATTAGATAAGAAGCTGTGAAAATAAATTAGTAAGAATTAAACTCAACAAGATAGAAAAAGAGTAAAACATTAACCTGCAAAAGGCAGAATTAAAATAAATTATGAATAATTAATTTAAAAACAAACAGTGAATAAATTCATATATCCAAGACTTGATATATGTTTTTAAAAGAACAGTAAATAGAATTATTCTGCCAAGAGGTCTAACACAACAAAGCAAAGAAAATAAAAAATTTAAAAAAAACAGTAAAAGGCAGAGAGGCCTTCCTATGGGGAATGGGAAAGAGAATTAAACTACAGATAATCAAGTTTTTATTTTTTTACTGAAAATGGTATACAAAATTTATACTAATAAGTTTGAAAATCTTGATGAAATGATTTCCTTTAGAGAAAAATGTAAACTGTTCCAATTTATTTAGTGGAGAAACGACAATTTTTCTACCTATTCAATGCCATTCTAGGAGAATCAGTTCCCAGAGCCATGTAGGTACAGAGCTAAAAATGGTAGAACCCTAAACAGTTAATCCCTGATAGTGTGAACACCTAACCTAATCTCTGGGAGGACTTTCCTGACCACCTATATTCTGAATGGAATCCGTCCTTCTCACAGTGCTCCAGAACTTCCTATATCCCTTGGCGCTTCAGCACTATCATAGCAGTATCACCATCTAACATGCCAAGAATTTTACTTTGTATGTTTTAAAAACCGTCTGTCTCCTTTTTCGTGTCCTACATACCTAAATGAAAGCTCCACAGAGTAGGTTTTGTCAGGTCAGGGGTGGGATGTATATTCTTGATTCTCAGATCATAAAAAGGGTCTGGCACATAGTTGGCATTAAATGTCTATTTTTTAAATGAATGAAACAAAGAAAGAAAAATGAATGAGTAAAAGAATGAATTATTACCTATAGAGAATAAAGTTGATCGTTGTATACACTTTGATTTGAGCACATGCAGACAAAAGGAATTTTAGACTGCCTTTTGTGGTAACTACAATAAAGTGTATAAGTGACCACAGACACAGTTGATCCAAGAAGAGAGCTGAGTAGAATGAGAGTAAAAGAGAGAGCAGAATATCTGAGGAGGAGGAGGAGGAGGAGGGTGAAGAAGAGAAGGAGAAGGAGCTGCCTGTTTCCTTTCTTGTTTTCATAACTATCTTGCTATTTTTATATAACTAGAGGCCATAAGGAAAACGTCACATGTATTTATTTTTTTAATCACAGAATCACTAAATGCCCAGTGTAAATTACAGTAGCTCTTATTAGGCTTCCACATTCTTTTAGATTGTCCCTTTAGAACAAGAACTCTCAATCTTAGATGTATATCAACTACAACTATGGATCTTCTTGTTTATCGTTTTATCTTCTTCTTTAATACAAGGACACAGGTCCCACCCAACCCGATGGGATAGTTCCAATGTGGGGCCATGTTAAGAATAGCTGCTTTACTTTGTTAAACAAACTCTACTAAAATGCTTTTCCAAACTCTCAAAGATATCCACAAGTTTTTCCTAATAGTAAGATTTTATGCCTTTCTGTCAAAAATATTTAAATCTGAAAAGAACTTTCAAACAACCAGTTCCATCTGGCTCATCCAGAGCTGTTTAATTTTTAAGCCATTACTCACAGTTTTAGAGTTTAAATTTATGATTATCCTTTCATATTTTTCTGATTTTTAAATGACTTACAAATTTTCATCGGGATATTCAAGTTCTCAATTTTTCCCCTGGCAAAGTAAATTTGATCAAGAAACTGAAATCTTAAATTGAAGGAGATTAAGTCAAATACCTGCAGAGGTGCTTCATGATGTTTTTCTCTCAGCATGGGGGCAGCCGGAATTTCCTGGACAGCTTTTGATGTCTTCCTTTTGGCTTTTTGCATTTGAATATTGGTAAAATAGTTGACAGCAGCAAACTCAATAAGGGCCGAAAATACAAAAGCAAAGCAGACAGCTATGAACCAATCCATGGCCGTAGCATAGGACACTTTGGGCAAAGAATGCCGCGCACTGATGCTCAGCGTAGTCATGGTGAGGACTGTGGTTATTCCTTGAAAGCAAAAGGACAGAGACAGAATACTTGACCATTACTTCTATGCAAAACAAATAAACACACAAAAAGTCCTAAGGATTTGGTGGGGTAGGGGTAAGAAAGTTGATAATAACTCAACCCAAACATTTTTGATAGAAGATTCTAATCCTAGTGGTTCAGTGAAATTAACATAGGCCTTGGAGTGGGACAGATATGGTTCAAATCCTGGCTCTTCTATTATTGACTCAGTGTACCTTGGATTAAGTTATGAAAACTCACTGGGCTTTGACACCTGTTGGGTTTGCAGTAAAGATTAAAAGTATGTTGGGCACCTAGCATATATATGTTGGGTGGATATTAGTATCTGAGCTGATATATCTGAGGAACTCAACACACATGCCTAACAGAAAGTGCTACTCATTGAAGCACTGATTCTCAACCAGAAGTCGGAAGTTGGTAGCATTGAAAATTGGAGCATCAGAATTTCTGGGGTAGACATGGCCTATGGCTCTTAAGAATCACTACCATAAAAAGCATAAATTATAGATACTTAAAATCTTTAAGTAAATATTACCTATTGAATTAAAATAACAAATTTACTAGTTTTGAAAGACCTTAATTTATATCAAATAATAAATGTGTATTCCCAGAAAAAATATATTTCTGGAACAATTTGGCTTTAAAAATATAGACATCTACCACCCATCAATTTATGGTTGAGAGGAAAGTATTTAAAACAAGAATAGAGGTACTTCTCTTCAATCAATAGGCTTCTGAATCATATCACTTCCAGGAAAACCTTCTCCTCAGCCTGGAAAAAGGTTAGTTCCCATTCTCAATGGAAAAATTCCACTTATCACTGGAACTATAGAGACATGAATTATTTAAGGATGCTAATATTTGTATAGTTGCTCCTTTCTGCATCTTTACCTATCCGTATACCTAATCCATGTTATCTAGTCAAGCTTAGAAATTTCTATGGGGATTTGCTATATCCATTTAAATTTATTCTATATAATGCCTAGAAGAGCTCCTAAACTGACACACCCAGGTGTTTGAGGATGATGATGATGATGATGACAACAATGATGAAGGCATCTAAACTATATATTCTAATCCATGCCAAATCCTAGCTGAAAGCCAAACAATACATGTTAACCTGAAGAGATAGCCTCGTGTAACAACAAAGCAACAGTAATATTTTGATTTAGAGAGAAGTCTTATTGTCTCCTCACCCCAGCATTTAATTATATTCTACCTTGTATTGTATCATAATTGCTCCGTTATGTAAACCTTGTTTCTACAACTTGATTGGTTGGGTGTTGCCTCCGTAAGGGCAGACATGTCTAACATTGCTTCAGGGTTTACCTTAATATATCACATAGTGCCAGGCACATGATAAATGCACAGTAAATAAAAACTCATTTTTTTCAGCTCCTCATCATTTTCTCTCCAGTCCCTTCTGAATTGCCAGTGTTTTAGAGCATGAAAAATTACAGCTATTGTGTAGTGTATGAGCTATAGATCTTTAAAAAACATTCCATAAACTATACAGAGAAATATAAGAATGTGGTTGTATTCTCTTTTTTAAAAAGTTTGATATTTTTAGCATTTTATTAGTAAAAATAGGTTTTAAAATGTGTTCACTTGGTCAAACATATAGATACCTAAATATATATGAAAGTGCAATATTGTAAATTTATTGGACTTCATGTCAGAAAAAGACCTTATAAATTTAAGTCCTCCATTTTAAATCTCAGAAAAATGTCATCATTTCCATGCTGGTTGTGAGATATAGTGAATAAACCCTAAATTAATTTTGAAAAATTTCAGCTACAAAGTTTTAATATAAATAGGTTTTTGTTATTATTCATAATAATTTAAGTTTAATGGCCTGTTAAGTATTCAAAAATGTTCTACAACCTTCTTAGGTATATTTCCTCTAATATCATAGGAATTATGCTGAAAAGACTTGAAAATAAAATATGAACAGTCTAAATAAGAATACTACTCAGAATTCAGAAAATTCTACAGAGACCATAATAATGTGATAACCAAAAATGATACTCAGACTCAACTATAATCAACTTAAGATTCCTCAAGCTGCTTTGAACATTTTTTGGTAAGAGAACGACTTATCCTAAGGACCAGAAGTAGTGTTCTTCATCTTCTCCTATTATCGTATAAAGAAATTTCCTTATTAATATTGAGTAAGCAAAATATTAATACAATTATTGAGCATGAACCCAAATATTATTTTCTGATTATTAAAAGGGTAGATCACCAGGGACATGAAGATATTCAATGATGCTATGTACATAGTGCAAAAAAATGTTGCCTATGTGACCAGTTTCCATTTCTCTTTCATTGTTTTGAATCAACTTGATTTTAAAGTTTGTATAGCAGCCCTCCAGATATTATGGTTCATATTTTATGACTGTCCACAAAATTAGGAAAGTAACTGTCATGAACAATTAGCTAAGAGTTTGAAGTGGCCATAACTTTAGACATTAAAAAGTTATGGCTTCTTGGAGTTAAAATTTAAAGAACTCTTAGCACGACAGGGATGTGCTTATTTCACCAGCTTTAGGTGGAGCATTTGGTTAAATAAATACCAACATATCAAACAGATGCCAACCCTTCAGATAAGAAGCCATGCTTTCTCTGCATCTAGGAAGACAGTGCATATGTTGTAAATGGTTTAGCTGGCATCCACCCCTGAAAACATTTCAATAACCATAAAATATTTTTGACATGTTTAAGGAGAGATGTCAGTCCCTGTTTTTAGGATGCTGATTATGTACCATATTGGTTGGCCCAAGAGCTGGGAGAGGAAATGTAATAGTAGGCTAAAACTGCACACAAGAGTAAAATTTTGGCTGCCCACTCCTAGAAAATGAACCAGTAATGATTTAGATGTGCCAGCTGGCATTTACTCAGGTTTAATGTTTTACTATACTGGAATAATTAGAAACTTAGAGGCATAAAACTTTGGAGATAGAGGGTCTTTGGGGAGAATTTAGCTCTTTACTTCTCATGTTTACACTTTTTTTGAGGGGGGGTTTGTTTTTTTATAATCTCTAGTAAATACCTGAGTAAAAAAGAAAATGAGAATTAAGAAAGATAAATACTAGCCTAGAATTAAATTTTTACCTAAATCTCATATGAAATAGATTGCTAAGTCCCCTCAAATACTTAAAACTTAGGTGCCTTAGGTAAATACTATCTAGAGCTTCACTGAAGTTTAATTATTACCATTTTGACATATCTTAGGCCTTTGAAGACTTAATTATTGGGCATAATTGACCTGGTCAATCAAAACCAACAATTCGGTACATGAACACATGACAGAGGCAAATGTTACATTTCAAATGGAAAATGCTATCCACAAAGTGTCTTTAGACATATACATACAACCTTACTCAGCAGCTCTGGAATTTTCCACAAGGCCCCACACCATACCCTCTGTGAAGGCAGAATGGCAGAGTAGAAATGGCAGAGTCCCCAAAGTTAGATAGAAACTGTTTTCGATCATCACTTTTAAGTATGTGACTTTATACAAGTTCTTTAATCACTCTGGGTCATTTTCCTTACCATAAATATTAATAAGCCCTGCCTCACTGAATTATTGTGAAAATTAAATAAGATGATCCCTATCAGCATATGGCAAATCTTATCATCCTTATTAGTGGTGTTACCAGTATCCTTACTATATGCTACTTAATTTCCTTACAGTTTCTTATCTGGATAGGAAATGTCGGATAGGTACAGCTGTAATAAATGCTATCCCTCTCCACAGCACTGGACGTTTCTATTATTTGGGGACATGTGAGACAGAAGAGTGGCTACAAGTTTGTAGTCAATCAAGAAAGTCTTCAAAGCTTATCAAGCAATCACAATAACAATAAAATATAGAGAACATATACATTATGGTATCAAGTAGTGATTCTCAAATGAGGTAGATGGCAGCTTGAACACCATAATAATAAGTGACACTTAAAAAGTATTTTCTGTGTGGTAGGTATTGTTCCAAGTGCTTTATCCAAATTAACTCATTTAATCCTCAGGGCAACCCTGGAAATTTCATCCTGTTCTAACACATGAGGAAACAGGCAAAAGAAACTCACCGAGGGTTCACAGCTAAAAAGTGGTAGACACAGGGTTATAACGTAAGCTGCCTGGCTCCAAAGTCTGCCCTATGACTCTGTTACCTCTTCATTAGAGGCACCAATAATAATTCCATATTTTCTATGATGGTTGTGAGATATAGTAAATAAACCCTAAATTAATTTTGAAAAATTTCAGCTACAAAGTTTTAATATAAATCGGTTTTAGAAGTTCTGTAGGACCATAGAGAAAAGATGATAATACGTATACAGGTGATTTCATTTTCAGCGATGATAGTTTCTGAAATATTAATGTCATTTATACTAAGGACTGTGATCTGGTACTCTGCCTCAACAGATGCTTTCTGCCCAGTCAGGCTGCTTCTAAACATGGTATGTAAAGATTCAAGCTTAGTGTGAGCACTAAATGAGATAACGAGCATCAAGAACTTAGCAGTGTGCCTGGTATTATACAATAGAATGGTGTTTTCTTAAAAACAATTAAAAATCGAGGAAATCAAGTTAGAACAAAATAAATCTCCCCTACATAAGAGAAGTATGAGAGAGAGTCAACGACATGTCCTAAGTGCTCCATGTACCCTGTAATGAGTTGCTGGACATAAAGCCAAACTCTCACTAGTCTATGAAGAAAAGATATATTATCGCAATTTTATGAATGGTGAAAATACATGGCAGATTCTGGTTTTATTTTATTTTTATTTTTCAATTTTCATTTTTTTATTTTTTTAATTTATTTTATTTTTAAAAATTTATTTATTTATTTTTTTAATTGAAGAAATTGTTTAAAATTCTGGTTTTAAATCCCAATCTATTGTGGTCCAAAACAGATTTGTTGTTTTCTCTCTTTCACAACTATTTTTAAAAGTTAAAATGTATTCAATACTTGCAATGTGCAGTTATTTTTTTAATTGAACGCTCACAACTCTGTGAAGTAGTTTATACCATTGTACATGCTCACTGCCTTCCTGAGGTCGCATCCTGCTCCCAACATTGACCCTTTGTAAGTTTCCCCAGTAGGATTCCAATACCTTCTCTAAGATTAAATGGGGGAGGGGGATCTATGGAAAATATCCCCACATTTAAGTCCACTGAAGACACTAAGATACCCTTATCATCAGTTCTCTAAGAGGGAGGTGGGATGAGAAGCTCACGTTCTTCCCTATTCCTTCTCCCCAGCATCCCTTCAGCTCTCGTGATAAAAGCAATTATACCACGGCTTTGACCCTAACCAAGTAGAAAAAAGCAGAGGGAGACTGACATCTCCTGTGAAGACTGTACCTCCATTCCAGAGCAATTCTGATCATTTTCCTTCTTATCCCACTACAGAATGCTTTTGCTACTCACAATCAACATAAAAAGAATAGAGAAATATATTAAATTAAATAAAGATCATTATAACTAATTTTTTATTTAAAAGCAGGTCTGACATGTAAAAGACTTGCCAAACAGTTATAAAAATTTAAAACTCATGTATTCTGGATTTTTATAGTTTAAAATGTGGTATGTAGAAAGGCAATATAAAAACAAAAAGAAAAAATATGCTGTGCTCAGAAAAGAAATGTAGATAGAATGTAACAATGAGCTAATAAATTAAGCATATAATACCTTCCAACTAAATGCATTTAAACCATTGCATTTTGCTCCTCTTCAATAAAAGGCAAATTATTCTAAGGCTTTCATATTCGTTCAGCCATGACTTTTATTTGTTTTATTTTAAGCTCCCAGTGCATTTCATTTTAATGCTTAGATATGATTTTAATTCAATTACACAGTATTAAGCTAGGAGCTCCAGATTCATGCTTGCTCTTTACCTGCCTGGTTGCAATAAGAGAAAACTGACGGGGCCCCAAAGGAAGGGTGAACAGCCCAAGCCTTATCTTTTGGTATTGGCTAGGTAAAAATGAAACTTTATATGATCCTTTACTCAGTATACCCTAATATATTACTGTTTAATATATTCTTAGAAATAATATCTAAGAGCTATTCTCATGAAATCATGAACAGAATGTAATATGAATAAAAATACCCAAGAAATGAATTGCAATTACCAAATACGGTCCTAGCTGGAACTGATTCTTTATTTATCCAGAATGAGACTTGCGAAAGAATCACTGTCATAATGCATGGGATGTACGTCTGAATCATAAAATAACCCATCTTCCGTCTGAGGTGGAAGTAAACCGTCATAACAATGTATTCACCTACAAATAAAGCATGAGGAAATGTGTTATTGTGCAGCCAATTTTTCCGGTGGCTTCATAATCATATTTCAGATTAACAAAAATCATTCTAGGCAAAGAAATTATGTGTTCTGCATAGAAAACAAGCATGGAGAACTATGTAGTTTCTAACTAGGGGGAAAATGATATTGAATATCATTACACAGAAATATACTTTTGTTCTATGTAGCGATTAAGCAATTTAATAAATTAAGCCCTAACTTTAAAAATATTCTTTTAGTGCTTTCTATTTTAAAGGTCTAGTACCGCGAAAGAAGTTAACATCTTTTGAGAAAAAAATTTAAACCTAACTTTTATAGAAAATCTCTAGGAAAATGTAAATACACATGCACAAAGCTTAATTTTAGAAATAATTGAAATACACAGATAAACATTATATATACAATATGCATAAGGAGACTCACTTACTGTCTTAGTTTTAGGAAAGAGCTATATTTCTAAATGTTATGTAATATGAAGAAAAATAAAAAGGGACATGTATAACATTCAGTAGTATATAACATCTCTGAGTTCAAGCATGTTATACTGGCATTTAGAGAAAAACTAATAAGCTAATAAGCAAAATGAACCATAAGATTTTTGGGAGTTGTTGATAAATGTTTTTAATGTTATATCTGAAAGGAACATATTAAGAGAGTTACTTAGGAAGCAGTAGCCTTATTCTCATTCTATGAAGCCCAAGATTCAGAAGCCTCAAATCCTACTTGTTTCAAACTTACTTGCAGGCTAGAAAATGAATGTTTTAAAAAAACATATTTTTCCTGGAGATATGTTTATGTAATGAATAGTTTTAGAACAGCCAATTTTTCTCATTAAATGTGATCAAAACTATATCCTACAATTCTTTCATTCACATTCCAAAAGCAAATGCAGACCAAAAACGTCAATAATAAGCATCCATCTACTCATGTGACAGCTTTAATCTATACTCTTAATATATTAAGCTTTATATTTTGTTTTTATTTTGAAAAGAGGGGGAGGGTGGCACCACAAAATCGAAAGAAAAAGATTTAGGGAAAGCATCGAAAAAAAAGGGGGAAATCCAGTGTCTAAAAATCAGTGGTCAGACTTCCTATCTAAGAATTCTGTTAAAAAATAATTTTAATATATTTGATTACAGACTTTGGTTTCTGAATAAGAAAACCAACTCGCATCTCATCAACTCAGATTTATTTTAAACTGAAATAAGATTATAAATACAAATTTAAAAATCCTGAACCTTGATTTACGCATCAACTCTATTTCTGGAATCCTTTCGTTATCTCCTGAAAGTGCTAGATATTCCATGAAAAAGCTATGACAAGACAATCGTGAATGCCAACTAGCATATTGACTTTAATCGTTAAATATCTCACCCGTGATGGATTTGATAGTTTCACTTGATACGGTTTGCCCAATCAAGTCATACTGAACTAAGCTGGAGGATTCCTTTGGAACTTCTACTGATTTCTCAGGACCTTTTGTCCAGGTATAAATCATCTCACTCTTCGGATAAGCATCTGAATAAGAGCACAGAATGTGGTTAGAGTCAGTGCTCCTTTTGGCCAGCATTGATGGTCAACACTTAAGAATATTACACATGTTCAAGAAAAATGAAATAAATGAAAACGATTATAATTTATTTAAGCATGCTTAAGAGTTAGAGAACTGTAGACATTAAATAAACAGCCCTATATATTTCTTGTTTTTATGCCAAAGAATTAGAGGAGGAAAGACTAAAGCTAAAGTAACTAAAATACTATAAATATGCATTAATGCATTGCCTATGTTTCCATACAAAGAATAAGCAGTAGAAAAGCAAAAATGATAACCCTCCCCCTCCAAAAGCACTGTCAAACTGCAGGGGCAGGATAGTTGGCCTAGGGAAGACCCCTACCCAAACCCTTCCCCGCCCTGCTACTGGCCCCGCCCGCCCATGGCCCTGCCCCAAGATGAGCTCTGTATTTCTCCTCAGTCCCTTGCTCTCCTTTGCCCTCTTCCTGAAGCTCTGGAATTTCTTCTCCCTTGTCCCTTACTCAGCCCTCTCTCTGTTTTGATTTCAAGTGTGAGACCCCAGCATGAGAAACAAGCCAAGGCCTGGAGACAAGATAGATGACTTTGAGCCACCACCTCCCCTGCAGGTGGCAAGGGAAATAGGCCAGATATCTTGTGACAAGAAAACAAAAGCTCATAATAGAGACAGCTCAGTGTAGATTCTCTCTCTGAGATGCTAGCACTTTCCTCTAAGGTGTGTACTTTAACTTTAATAAAAACTGCATTTTCCTGCTTGCTGTTTGTCCTGTTCTTGAATTCTTTCCCCTGACCTAAGATAAGAACCTGCTCCCTGGGGCTCCAGGGTCGAGTCCCTCTTTGGACTCCCACCAGGTCGAGCTCTCCCTTAATGTTTCCATTTCAATTCACTTCCAGCCTTGACCAGTATTGACTTCTTTCATCCTAATGCAACACTGCCAATTAGAAACATACCAAATGCTGCCTGTGATAATACAGCAACAAAAACAAAAATAAATGCTGCTGTTGGGAGAGTTCTCCAGGGGTAACCTAATCTAGACTCTGCCTTTGGGCAATATCCATATTGTTTGGGGAATCATGCTGCAGTGAAGACTGGTTATGCTATATGAAAAGCCCTGCAGGGAATGTGATCATACAAGCAGTTCCACTACCTTTAAACTCTTACGATCAGGACATTTTCCCTTCCACCTTCTACACATCCTTCCCAGCAGTAATTTAAACTCATTTTCAATTATTTGGTGTTCAACGCAAATGGAGACCAGCTGCTTGCTTACCAGTTTACCCAGAGCAGGTAACTTGGCTCACATACAAATAAATTCAAAAGAACCAAGATAAATTGTGTACTACCCTCCACAAACCTTCCTAAAATGGCTAGAGCACAGTAAATCCTCGGTGGAATTGTTTAATTCTCTAAAAGGAGTTGGTACCTAAGGAGATTATCTTTACAAACAACTTTGCAAAATAAACAATGAGGTTTACGCTGTCATTTAGCAGTATAAAGTTATGTGTCAGCATTGATCTCCTGAAGTATATTCATGCTTAATCATACACTTAAAGCTCCTGAATACTATGTTACCACTCATGATATTTTAAATCAGGTATCCTTCTCTTGGCTAGCCTACCTTGCAAGAATAAACTTTTTCTTAATGATTCAATATTTGAGGCTGGAGATAGGGCTAGGTAGAGTGGGTGAAGGTGATCAACAGATGTGCCTCTCTTTAATTCTCAATCCCAAAACATCAACTTCCAAGGAGTGATTTCTTTGTTTTGTACAAGTCCTGATTGAACACTATGTCCATGTCACTCTGAAGACTGTTCTCTATGAGAACTAGAGAGGGATGGGTGGGAAAATTAAACCCTTGGATAAGAACTACCTGGGTGAAATTTAAGTCATTACAGCACAAATGGATTTTAAATCTGGCCCCAGTGAGATCACCTTTTCTGTCTATTTATTTTTCTATTTTTATCTTCTCTCATTAAGTCACTGGTCAGGGAGCAAATGGTTCTCTTTAGCTTCAAGTTAGCCCACTGAATATTGTGCTTACTAGAGGTTATAAAAAGAATGGTGACTGCTGATTCTCATTAAGTTAAGCAATGAGCAATGATAACAGCAGGCAACAGTTTCACAATCAGTGCGACTGAGAATCTGAAGCAATAGTAAAAGCCGGCATCTATTTTTAGTAGATTCTGATTAAATCAAATATTTGAGGCTGACATTAGAGAGGCAATCAAATTTTTCTGGCATCTCAGAGAAGGAGTCTAGGGGAAAGGAATTCCATATTCTTTCGACCAACTCATTTCATCTTTTTGCTTTCACCTCCACAGAATATCCCAAATCCATCTATCTCACAACTTCTCCTCCAGTACATCCTAGTCTAAGCCAATACTTCTCTGCTTTTACTCTAATCTCTTTACAACCCATTCTCCATAGAACAGCTAAACTGAAATTGTAAAATGTCAGTCAAAGAATGCCACATCCCTTAGTAAAAACTACCAAAGGCTTCCTATACCATTTAGAATAGAATCCAAAGTCATTAATGTGATCTGCAAGGTACTATATTATCTGGCTCTGTCTACAATCAGACCACACCTCCTACTATGCTCTTGTCGTGCTTCAGCCACTTCAAAACTAACATTGCTGCTTATGTTATTCTACCTATGTCATGTCAAGAAACTCTGGACCTTCTTTGACCTTCTTTCAAGTGTACCATAAAGGACTCTGCTTGTAACAGAAACTGTAAAATACAAACAAAATGAAACAAAAAACAAAATAATTTACACTTGCTATGTTCCACTACCAATACATGGAGTTCAAAGGTCCCTAAATTTCGCCACTGCCCACTAACCTATTTATTATGAGTCAGTTTACTTAAATTATCTGCAGAAATAGGGTTTTGGTTTTGGGAAAATAGAGGGTTGTTTTTACTTCTTTATTTAAATATATTAGATAATAAACTTTCTCCTAAAAGTCAAATCTTGGACAGTTATTGCCAGGGACAATGATTTAAATGTTGGATTATAAAAAAACTATGCACATATATAAATATTAGCTTACATCAGATAATCATAAATTCTGACATTTTTATTGTAACTTACAACTCCCAAATTTCAAAGGGCATGCATGACCATCCATGGGAAAATCCACCAATCTCATAGGACACTCTGCACTTATGGTGAGTCTATGATGGAAAAATACAATTAGTATAAACTCTTTCTCTAAAAATAAATTTATAGATCTCTAAAACAAAAGAAGGAAGAAAGAAGGAAGGAAAAAAGGGAAGAAGGAAAAAGAAAAAAATGACTACCTCATTGTGTATAAAATAGTGCCATTTCTCATAATTCTAAAAAGCTTATTTGGAGCTGTCATATTATGTGAGACAGATTTCTTTCCATTCCTGAAGAAAGTATCGGGGGTCCATACTTTTGTTACCATCATATTGTTCAATCTCAAAATTTCAATGGGACCATCATATTTCAGTCTTTTGTCAATCCATGTCTGTCTGAAGAACACATCCATTGTGTATTCCTAGGGAAATTAGTTTTTACATATTCAAATCACAGATGAATACACATAAATATGGAAAAAATGCATTAAATTCGAGCCTCTTTCCCACTCATAAAAGAAAATGAGCCCAAATACAAACTAAACTAATCAAAGCAAAAATTTTCTTAAATCAATGAAACAAAAAGATTCTCAGCAATTAAAACATGTTATGTCCATCTTGATAACTTAATTTTCTATATTTATTAGATAAATGGTCATACATAGAAATAATTAATATAATTTAATAAAACTTCTAACACCAGGTAATTACAGTTGTACTTTACTTTAGATCAGGTAACAAAACTACTTAATATGTAACAAATATCATTGCATAACGAATCATAAAATTGTAAGCACCTCTTTAAGACAAAGTAAAATATGTGAAAAAGAAATTTTATGTTCTTAAAATCTATTAAAAGTAACCTAGGAGCCCAGAGTCGAGGGAAAAAAGTGAAGTGGGTTATTTGACCTTGAAATAAACATATTTAATATTAGAGAGCACAACTGAACGAATGAATTCATCTTGACCAGTGCTTGGTATTTTAAGTTCTTTAAACATGAAAGAGAGCAAGGGAGAAAAGGAGCAGAGGGAGATGAAGAATGAGCAACTGAGTCAGCATGGACACTGACTCAAATGTAATTATGACTACAGTATAAAGTTTCATATTAAAACTAATTTCACTCTCTAATTTTCTCTTCTTCAATAACTTTCTAAAGAAAAAAAAATACTACATACAAGATTGCATCGTATGTTAAGGAGACTAATGATAGGAAAGTTATTTTCTTTGTTGAGAATAATCCAAGTCAAAAAATACTCAGGTATTAGAGCTGAAATGCAAATTCAATGTCTCATTCTTTATAAAATTTTTGAGTCTAATTAGGCTGTTTCTAGCTTTGTGTGATTGACAGCAAAATACATATTAATTGCCTTTTTTTCTGTTTGTTTTCTTCACACCTCAAAAGGTATATCAAATTTTCCAAGTACCTACCATTTCAACATCAGAAACAGGTCCAAAGCTGGTGACATATATGTCAGTTTTTACTTCTGTAACAGGACCTAATTAGTATAAAGTAAATAAGTGTGAAAAAATAATTACCAATTTTACAGGCAAGATGGGTTTTAAAAATTAAAGAGTAAATACAGATATGATATATTGTATTTTCTAAGCATCTTAAATTTTCAATGAGATAATGCATCCCTACAAAAAAAAAAAATGTAGACAAAAGAACAACAAAACCAGAAAGCAGTGTTTACTTACAGGCACAAAACAAAACAGAATAAAAAATACTCAATTACTTACCAGGGACCTTGTTTCTTCATCACCCCCAAGTACTGTTAAGACAGGCAGTGCAGGGAACAAAAGCTTTTAGCCTTTATGATTTTTTATAGTCCATCATCTGATTGGCTTTTAGTAAAGAAGTGAGCTGTTAAAAAGAGGGAACTAAGCTACTAGGTAAAGAAAAAGACCATAACGGCTGCAAGGAATGCACCTTCGGAGAGCTGAGAATAGTGATATTCTAGAAAAGAGACCAGTGGGGCTGGAGCAAAGCAAGTAAGGAAGAGAATGATAAGAAATAAGGCCATATAGACAATAATAACCAGGGTCAGTGGACAGAGACTTAACCCCTGAGCCTATATTCTGAAAGTGCCATCTTTTTGGAAACATGTTTATATCTTAGGGCGACAGTTGTTAAAACTACATGGAAAAGAACTTGTAGAAATCCCAGCGACAGATGGGGTGGTGCATGAAGTGGTTGTTATGGGCTAAGTTATGATCCTTCCAAATTCATATGTTGATCTCCCAACACCCAGTTCCTCAAAGTGTGATCATATTTGGAGTTAGGATTTATAAATAGGGAATTAAATTAAAATGAGCTCACTAGGGTGGGCCCTAGTTCGATGTGCCTTGTGTCCTTGTAAGAGGAGATTAGGACACAGGAACTCACAGAAGAAAGACCACATGAAGACACAGAAAGAAAATGGCCATCTACAAGCAAAAGAGATAAACTTAGAAGAAACCAACCCTGCTGACATCTGGATCTTAGACTTCTAACATCCAGAATTGTGAAAAAACAAACTTGCTGTTGTTTAAGTACTCAGTCTGGAGTACGTTGTTATGGCATCCTGAGCAAATGAATACAGAGATTAATCATTTTCCCTATGT